CTCTAATAAAGTTGTTTTTTCAAGAGGTATAATAAGAGACATTTTGTAATACCTGCACGTCACTCTTAAGGAGTGGGTATGTTCAAAAACTGGTAGTAGTAGTTTGTATGAGTGTTTATTGCTGAGGTGGAGTGAAAAGCCGTCCATCCTAGAGAGGGGCATTAAAGCCAGAGATGGGTACTCGAGTTTGAGACTTGGACTTGAGTCGCACTTAACTCGCACACAATGACTTGAGACTCGACTTGAGACTCGTCCTCAAAAAGACCTTGCTGTTATTTTCCTCCCTACGCTACCTATAACCTACCTACGTAACACAACTATGTATCAGCTGCGCGTGGACACAATTGAGAGAGGACAACAAACTGATTGCCGTCCACGGGGGCGCACACAGTATGTTAAAACTGAATCACCCAGTCTCTTTACGCCTACAGCTGCATCAGGGTCAAACAGACATCACGTGCAAATAAACATCACTCTATGTCCGTGGTAAGAAAAGGCATGTCTTTGTGAAACTTTACAGTTTCTTTTAACTGAATAATCACACTTGTGGCTAAATAAGTGTTTGCAGTTTATAGCGTAATCTGGCACGACAATCACGTGATTATAGGCAATAACACAAGCCTGTTGTTGCCGATGGATTATGTGTTTGGTAGGTGTATGTCTAATATCCTTGTTTATATTTGGAAAACAGATTTTAGCCTATAATTAACATGACTCACTGCTGAGTTATAGATATATAATAAAGACATGATCTCTTTTGCAATTATCCTTTTGATATTATTTTACTTGCTGTGTACCAACAAATCCAGTCCTTTTTACCTGTTAAAACACCTATGGTTGTGCTCAAAAGTTTGCATACCCTTGAAGAATTGGTAATATATATCCCATGTGTAAAGAAAACATGAATGAGCTGGCAAAACATGTCTTTTATCTCTTATGGGATTCACATTGAACTGTAGGTAACAGAATGGCATAATCATAAAACAAAACAGGGGGAAAAAAGGCCACATAACCTTATTTATTAATACTGTGTATTGCAACCTTTAGCATCAATGACAGCGTGCAATCTTTGGTAATAGTTGTCTATGAGGCCCCCGAATTCTTGCAGGTGGTATAGCTGCCCATTCATCTTGGCAAAATGCCTCCAGTTCATCATGCAAAGTCTTTGGTCGTCTTGCATGAACCGCATGTTTGAGATCTCCCCAGAGTGGCTCGATGACATTAAGGTCAGGAGAACCTTCACCTTTTTCTGCTGTAACCACTGGAGGGTCACATTGGCCTTGTACTTGGGGTCATTATCATGCTGGAAAGTCCAAGAGCGCAGCTTCTGTGCAGAATAATGCAATCTGTCTGCCAGTATTTTCTCCTAACATGCTGCATTCATCTTGCCATCAATTTTCACCAGATTCCCTGTGCCTTTAGAGCTCACACCCTCCCAAAACATCAGTGAGCCACCACCATGCTTCACAATGGGGATGGTATTCTGTTCACTACAGGCCTTATTGGCCCCTCTCCAAACATAGCGCTTATGGTTGTGACCATAAAGCTCTATTTTGGTCTCGTCACTCCAAATTACAGTGTGCCAGAAGCTGAGAGGCGTGTCAAGGTGTTTTCGGGTAACCAGGCTTTTTTTGTGGCATTGGCGCAGCAAAGGCTTCTTTCTGGCAACTCGTCCATGTAGCTCATTTTTGTTTAAGTACCGTCGTATTGTGCTCCTTGCAACATCCACAGAGCAGCCTGTATTTCTCCTGACGTCACCTGTGGGTTCTTCTTTGTACCACGAACAATTCTTCTTGCAGTTTTCTCGGCCTACCTGACCTTGGCTTGATCCGAGATCCAAGAATTTTCCACTTCTTAATAAGTGATTGAACAGTACTGACTGGCATTTGCAAGGCTTTGGATCTCTTTTAATATCCTTTTCTATCTTTATAAAGTTCCAATACCTTGTTACGCAGGTCTTTTGACGGTTCTTTTCTGCTCCCCATGGCTCAGTATCTAGCCTGCTCAGTGCATCCACGTGAGAGCTCACAAACTCATGGACTATTTATACACAGACACTAGAAACAGAAATAATGGGAAAATGACCCTTCTTCTCAGCTGAATAATTATGGTTATGGTTATTTATGGTCTCAGTCGCTAGTTTCAAGTCTTCTTCAATACAAAATGATGTTCATTTAGTAAATTATGGTCCCATTTATTTTAAAATAGACCAAAAAGCAGAGTATGTTTCAGGGCGGGATTATCTATGATTGACAAGTTGTTACCATAGCGACCTGTCAATCAGGGTAGAGCCGACTCGTACCCTCGGCACGGTGTAAATTTAACCAGCACCGTTTAAAAAGCTTATTAGGAGTCGGCTGTTCACTTTCTCTGGTGAGTACATTTAGTTTTAAGACTGTTGTTCGCTAGACAAAGTTATCAGCCCTGTTCAAAATGACAGTTAACGTGAGTTACAGCTGCACCTAGCTAAGCAAGCTAGCTAGCTCTGCACACGGCCGTTAGCTCCACCGTATCGTCACTTCTTGACTTGGACTCTAGTTCAGAAACTTGTGAGCATCTCTGAATAAAAAGGTGCACACTTTCAGACAGTCTCTCCTGGAAGGAGTTATACACAAGAAGTTCAAACACTCAAACCTTCCACACCTCCACATACAGTATCTGGACAATTGCTGCAAGAGTTACTATCTGACAAGCACCTCTGTTGGAGTACACTAGTGCCTTAAATTCACCGTACAGTCATGGTCTTGGAAGGCATACTTAATAAAATGCTATATGCCTTTGCAGAGTCTGTTCATGACAAACATGTTTCTGTAGTTACTGTTTGGTCACAATCATGTAAGTACTGTTTTTTTCATCCTTAAGAAGGGGGACAGTGATGCATAGAGAGTGTTTCAAAACCATTTAAGAAAGCCTCTTCAAGGTCTTTAGTTTCAAGAATACCTATCTTAGAAATTGGTTTCTTTGCTTCATTCTTGAAAGAGTTTTTTTAAAAAAGGTACGTGGGTTTCATCTGACAACAGTGAGACGTCATCAACTAGGGCTGCAGGGCATGTTTGCAACAAACAAGACTGCTTCTTTGCGGTTTTCATCATATCACATTGTTATAATAGTTACTGTGATGTACAGAGCATCTTAACGAACCGCTACAGGCTGTTTTGCATTGAAAGATCAGACATGAGCTGCTGCGCTGGGTTCCATCAAATAACAGACCATGTTAGTTTTGTTACTGAGAATATGTACTTCTGCTATCGATGCTAACCTGAGGTAAAAACATGCTTGCAATTAGAAGTGCAGGCTATGTTAGAACACACTAAGTCATCACACGCTGTGGTATTGACTCATTCATCATACTGATGCACTGAAGACCAGCGCCTGTGCTTTTACAGCACTTTATCAATACAATGAGTAACAACGTTCTGAGTTCACATCCTGCAGGGGACCTTTGTTGCATGTCATTCCACAACTCTCTGTCATCTTCCTACTGTCTAGCATCAATAAAGGCATAATATGCTGGCCCCAAAAAAGTAGCCAAACAGAGCACCACACTCAGGGGTAGAAAAGTACAGTCCAGTGTTTACAAACTGAACCCAAAACCTGCTGTTTCATGTCACAGATTTCTGAAAAAAGCAGTAATGAAGTAATTACAACACCATGTGGGGGATAATGTATTGCATATTAAAAGGGGCAAAATGTAGTTTCCAGCAGTCACTAGCGGTGCAGTTTTTAAGATTGCAACCTGGTGTGTAATTGCATGCGACACACAGAGACAAACTCAGCGGGAGACCGCTTCACACAACATGCTGGAAACTCAGGTAAACACTCACTGTACCATTACAGTAGTATTTTTTATCAGCTTGAGGTTCAACTATTCTATGCTTGTTGCATGATAACGTTACATTTACTGCATTTAGCCAATGTGGCACGCTAGATATCTGGCAGAGGTCAGTGAGCCGTTTTGATGCGTCGTTGTGTAGTTCACGCATAACGACTGGTGACTGCAGATTGACCGCTGATTTACCCCCTATCACAGCCTGACGATCGGCGAGCTCCCCGAGCGGCAAATCGGGCTAAAAATTGTGTATTGTGAACTAGGCTTACATTATTGTAAATTATGTGGATCAAGTAAGTTACAGCGTCTGAGACGGTGAAGAAGCTGTTTACCTGAGAATCTGTAAAACTACAATAAATCCAAATTCAACGTTGCACAGCCGTGCTAGCGATAACTGGCTACTCCTGCCTTGCATCACTATAGGCTAGTACCAACGAATCACTTCATTTGCCTTTTACCGTTACACCCTTTCTTGCAGGCTAAACATAGAGAGATCAAAATTACTTTAGTTTTAATTATAGTTATTATGCAAGGAAACATCTCCGCTAAATTCAAGCATTTAGTAGTCGTTTCTGCAACGTTAGAAACACTGAGGCCATGACGCCTACACGCAGCCTTTAGGGTAAGAAGTGTTTCTGCCTAATTGCATTAATTGAAATACACTGTTCACATTTTTATTTAGGGCTCGTACTTCCCGTGGTTGTTCCTTTGTTCTCTAACAGTTAAGTATGTCAGTGGTTGACTGACAGTTAATTTTCACAGTATAAAATTCAAGCAAGAATCATCATTTAGACAAAGTCTACCATTGTCTCCCACTGTGTAAAGTTTCAATTCTGACAGAAAATGAGAAATACATAATAGATAAAGAAGAAGACGAAGAGAGAAAAGCAAAGTAGAAACGGGTTATGCAGAAAGCATGAGGATAGAGAGAAAAAGACTGTAATTTCTTTACATAAGCCTCCTTCACATTAAAAATGCAGGCAGAAATGTTGGCTATATAAATAACCCATTTCTCAGCATCACCCCTACAGAGAAAGACGGGAGGAAAAAGAGAATTGGAGATGTTTAAAGAAAAAGAGAGAATGGAGAAAGCTTAAGTTTGAAAAGGTGTTATTAGCCAAACGGTCTGAGAGAAGAGAGTTGAAGAGCAGAAGCTGTCAGTCTCTCTTACCTTGACATTTGGCTTCCTCGTTGAGAATCCTCTGTACCATCCTGAAAGAAAACACAAACATGAGTGACTATGACAGATGAGGAAAAAAAAGGGATATAACGGCTATGAGTCAGTAGTTTGACTGAATATGAAGATGACTTTGGCTTGAACAATTTCCAACAAGATCTTAAAAAAGGACCAAAGGCTGTCTCACAAAGTAAGACAAAACTGTTAAAATACTGAAATCCCACCAGGCATTGGAAAATGGTCAGCAACACCACAGTATAAAGTAATCATGATTCGGGGGTTAAAAGTCAAACATCATTAACAGAAAGCTGCCGCTCAGCCCTCGCTGATTGAAGTCCAGAGTCAGAACCAGATCACTGAGCTGGAGAAAGGTCTGGGTCCACATTATTACTCTGAACCCTGTAGTTGTAGATGTGACCTGCAGCGACCATTTTCTGTGTGCGTGTGGGCAAGTGATAATCCTCCTCCTGCTGCAAGCACAACAGTTATTTCCACATGGGCGAACATTCATCAGATGCCTCTACGGAGTAAAAAGCTGTCATGAAAGTTGACTCAACTTGAAGTAAAACCTTGACAGCTAAAAATGACGTGTATTAAGGGACTAAATGTACAGGGGAGCCGCTCAGACTGTGGGGACATCATTTGTCTCAGTCCAAGTGGAAATATAAATCACTGCATCTCCGGTGCTGGGAAATGTAAGGCTTGGGTGGCCACTGTCAGCGACACAGTGAAGCAAAAGAGATACTTATTTATGTCAAAATGACGCTTTTAATTACTTTGACCTTCTCAGACAGCAACAGTGTACACTGCTAGAAAGCCAATTTGTTATCAGAGCTGACAATATTCTGTCATCACCTGAATTGCCACAAAGGCCATGTGAAGCCTCATAACATGACCTGTTCCTGATTAAAAATTTAGAGGTGGCGTACGCCATATACCCACTAGGAAAGGTCAAGGATTTCCGTATACCCACTTAAAATAGCAATATGATACGTAACAATATCGTTTTGTGACAGAACTTTCACACTTTCATTTACAAATTCACCCCGTCTGTGTTGCGAAGCACTGACTTTCGGGGCTTCCACCTTCCTCACCTACCAAACAACAACACAGCTGCGTGGCGGTCAATTGGCGCATGTTTGAAATTAACGCAAACTACACTTTCTGTGTTTTTCCATTAACCTGCCCCTGAAGCTCCGGGTGACACCGCAGCAGCAGCAGATGACACGATCGTTAAAGTTACAGAAACTAAAACGAGCCAGATGAGGCTGATGCTGTGGTAACGTTACCTGGTGAGTGACAGTAGCATACAGTAGCATACAGTAGCATAAATGATCATCAACGTTATCTACCGTAGCTGTAACAGCAGGGGGATTGATGGTATATTGAACTGCATCAAGAACTAGTTAGTTTGACAATTATTTTAGAAGATAAGTGTGCTTGAGAAGATGTGGACCACTTTTTGTGTCCTCCCTTTTACGGTTATAATATTCTGTAATGAATGAGGTTTGGTGACAGATCTGCACAAATGTTCATTGTTATTACTTTCAGCTTTCCATTATTGTTAAAAATAGTTGCAACTTCTTAAACCACTCCTAAATGTGCATTGAAAACTGCCAACGTCTAAGGCTAAATGTAGCTCTTAACTGGCTGAGTTAGATGGTGATTAACTCTAAACGGTAGAAAATCAGTCGTATAGCGACTGTATGTCACTCTGGGGTCGCTTGGGGACGGGTGAGTATACAGGGAAGAATCACAGCATAATCACTACAAAAAACTAGACTACACCACTGGTACTAACACTGCATCGGCCAGGATGCTTCTCATCAACTATCAACTTATCTTCTTGCAAAATCATGAGATCCATTTCTCAGCAGTTCTACATAATCTGATATGAATATGGAGATGGTGGCGTAATTGGCTGGTTAATTAATAACCATTCAAGATTCATTTATCACCCTCGTTAAGATGGCTGTTTACTCCCTAGCCTCTCATCTATATGGAAATCAGACTGGGGCTGGACCAGAAGTGTCTGGGTCTATTTGTAAGGGTTGAAATGAGGACGTGTGTGTGTGTGTGTGTGTGTGTGTCTGTGTGTGTGTGTGTGTGTGTGTGTAGCTGAGGGAGTTTTCTCCATCTGTAAGCGATAAGAAAATCACAAAAGAGAACATAAAGACATCTAAAACTCATCATGTGTGAGTGTGTCTACGCTTACTCTAAATGTGCGAAGGCAGAGATGACAGAGCAGGTGTTTGTGTGTCGTACATAAGTGTGCGCGCAGGTGCATGTATGCACCTAATTTGTCCGTTGCCATATAGCACTTTCCCTGAAGAAGGGTAATCATCTCGCCTGCCGCATCCGAACGGCTCACGAAGCAGTTATTAGAATAATCATTTTGCAACGTTATCAAAATAATTCACAATAATAATCACGGTAAATCATCTCTAAATTGAAGGCAGAACTCAAGGAGACACTTTGGTCGAGTTAATGCAGGTTTAGACTGAACTCATTATGAATACAGCGTTTTACAATAGATGTTGGTTTCCATCAAATCAGCCAAATCCCAGTGTTAAATTATGCTTCATTTCCCTGTAGAGGACACCTCAAGCTAGTTTATGACAAAAGGAATTGCTTGTTGATGCAGTTATAGTACCCAGGAGGGCGGTTTTCATTGTAATTACGGTAATGACAGTGATTCAATAGAGAGGTGAGCTGCAGCTGAGCCACCAAGCTACGTACAGCATGCTCAGTTTATACAACACTGCCAATGCACAGGTACTGAAAGCAGGCCAAGAAAAAGATTGCTAACTAGTACCATAGTTATTTTGTCATATAAACAAATAAAGGCTTCATCAGGAGCACCGCACTGTTGGAATCAAACAGCCAGCCACTTCTCAGTTGTTATTGGACATAAATGTATAACTTGGCTGCTCGTTCTGACATGCCTCTCTGCTTTCCTGGCTGACATCTTGGACTGGATGACAAGACATCACCTAAAGCTCAAGCTGGACAAGAGTGAGCTTGCCTTTCTCCAGGGTCCGCTGACCGATACCCGTCCATCACTGCCAACTTCTTTTGTTCAGAGGGAGCCACTCATTTCCCTAAACTGTTTAACTTTGTAAGTTTTGTGTTTGTATGCTGTTGGCTGACCACAACTGCCAAGTTGAAAACACAGTATCAAACAACCAGCTAACATAATGCAATTAAGGAGAAGTTTTGAAAAATATATATCAGTTAAGTTAGCTCAGCCCACTCTCTTGTACTTCCATGTGCAGTATATCATCTGTGAGAAGGCAACTCCTTTGGCAAGATGAGTCTAAACATACTCTGGTGGTTGTCACCGGTTGGTAAAACATTTTGTCATTTGTTTTTGCCCTTTTTTCTTACACTCATGTTTTTTTGCCTGCATAGAAATAGCTAAATAGTCATGGAGCAGTTAGGTGCAGGCCCAATTATTAAAGCTAGGAGATAAATTATATCCTAGTTTATTGTTTTTTTCCCCAAAACGTTTGTCAAAATTCTGTAAAAAGAGGAAGAATGAAAACTTTATTTCTTGCACAGTTGCATTCTTAAGTGCTGCATTGCAACAGTAGTCAGATATTCTATAGTATGACAGAGTGGCTCTGTTTTTTAGGCTGCCGTGTACATGGGAGTATCAAATGTTGACTCTAGATTGAGCTATTGAAGAATTAAATCTGCAACACATTTAATTCAAAATCAGTCTCAATTAAGTACAGAAGTACGGCTCACGGTGTTTAAAAGCAGACATTGGAGTTAAAGATAAGATTGTTTCCTGTACTATGCTAAACTAAATAACATTAACATAGTCCTCCATCTACTGAACCATAGTTGAAATACATAATGACTCATATTCACTAGTGTCAGGTTCTCTCATCACAGCCTGGTTGTTTAATATTTAACTGTTATTTATCGACAGCCAGCTCACTCCTGGACAGCCACAATAGCTTAGCAGCTTGCTATGGGAGATTTGTTACAGCTGAACAGCCTCTCCAAAATAATGAGAGGCTGTTCTTAGCTATGACTATGGACACTTCAGTAATGCTGACAGTACTAAGAGTCAAAATCTCATACTTTAAATTGCTGCTACGCCCTTAATCGAAGCCTAATGCTTTCTCAAGTGTTATGACTGCAATCTGTATTTTAAGAACGGAACGTGGGGATTGCATTCCTGCAGCCTGGCTGCCATCTCCATATCACTGTCATTATAGTCATCGAGTTTCTGTCTGGGGAGGATAATTTGGCATTAGTGCAGGCAGAGAAGTGCTAGCCACTGTGCAAGAGGGCAGAGAAAGCCAATTTTAGGAAAAGATTTTTGAACACTTGGTGAATAAAAGCTCTGCAGTATTTCTGCAGCAGCCGAATTGGTAACTATGGTACACCCACTCACTGTCCTCAGTGCTTACGGTAAAAACAGAAAAGAAACATTGATGACATTTCTTATTCAGCATGATATGACATATTTATAAAATAAAAACATGTTTGCCTCAATATAAATAACTACCAATTACACAAAAACATTCTCTCTGTGCTATTAACCAACTGTTCATTGGAGGGTATTCTCTAAAAATGCATTTGCATGTAGAGATGATGACAGGAGCTGGGGGAATCTTGGACAAAAGTTAGCCCTGTTTTGCCCTGATAATCACTGTGTGGTAAGCTGTCACAGGGGCTTAGACAATAGTCTGTGTCCCCAGCTAGAAGGGTTGCATTTCATAAGCAGAGCAAAACAGATGCTGATTGGATGCCATGAGGTTAGTTCAGAGTTGAATATGAGGCTGGTTAATACAAGCAGACAATTAGAGGAGAAAAATGTAGAGGAGAGGGAGTGAAGAGGATTGTTCGAGATGACAACACAAGGGGAAGCAGAGGCCAGAAGAGAGAAGCAAAGTAAACCCGTTTTGTTCTCTCTTTTCCATTAACTGGAATGTTTCCCCCCTCTCTGTCTCAGGAGCATCTCCCTCCCTGGGTAAAGAGAGGCCCAATCAGCCTCTGGCACTGGATCTATGATAGCAGCCTGCCCAGCTGTGGCTAATGAAGCACATACTCACTCATTATCTGCAAAAGACAACACTTCCTGGCTTCAGACACATCCTGGCTTGAGTTGCTAATTTCTGTGAGTCAAACTAGGAATAACAATGGGAGTAACATCAGCTAATAACTTGGGCTCTCGGCCAGGCCAGGCCTGCACTGGTCTATTAGAGGCTATTTGCAATCATTATTTGAGAGAACTATGGATGCAGCGATGATTGCTTTGTTTTTACTGTGTGCATTTGTGACAACACAGCATTAATGTAGAAGCTTTTCTATCTGGTGCCCATGTGAAAATCTGTGGGGAAATGGACCTTGATACATTACAATTTTACAACACTTTAGATACAGCTACACAAAGCAACTCAGCTGTATGTATTTACTGTCACTCAGTAATTAATGCAGGAAATGTTGGTGGCAAAATCAAACTGTTAAAACACTTTTTACTAGGTTTAAGATGAAGAGAGCGGGTATCTTATTAAAGTTACTGACTGGAATCTGTTTGAGGTTTATGACTCCACCAGAAAGAAGCGTGGTGCATTAGCCAACAATGTTAGGCTCAAATTTTAGTTACCTGAACAAATTTTCCAAAAGTAATCCTGCTTTAAAAGGTTTATAAGTTCCAAGGAAGATCACTGAATAGCTACATCAGTACAATAAGAGCCTGATTTCTTATACTTTCGTAACATATGTAAAACATTTTTTTTTTTTAGGACACAGCAGTTATCTCTAACCTGGACGCTATTTACAGTGATTACTGGTGCTTTAGCGATGTTCCGGTGCTGCTGTAAGAATGATCAAGGACATTATTGCTGCATCAAACACCAACCCCCCACAGTCTCTCATTTCTCAAGCTATTCATCAGGTAGAAGTCTTACCTTCACATTTTTCCAGAATCTGAACCGTCTCTCCCACCTCCAGAGCCAAACCCTGAGTCACTGAGCCCCGGAAGTTGCAGATCACTGTGAAACAGAGAGAGGAAAAGATGAGAAGGTGGAAATATGAAAATGAGACACTGAGTGACTAAAAGTACAATAGAATTTGGTTTGTGAATTAAAGGGGCAGCAATTATTTATATTCATTCTCGATAAGTCTAGACTTTTTTTTATTTTCCCCCCAAAAAATCCATAGCCATTTCGTGTTTTAGCATAGTTTACAACCCACAAGAATACCAAAGGTGTGGCTTTCATCGTCACCGTCTGCCTGTCCCGTTACAGCAGCATGACGTTAGCATCAGAGCCTGAATGAACACATCCACAGTCCTTGCTGTACCAGGCACTGTTGATGTTACTAATCCTCATGACTGCACCAGTGCACCCAGAAAACAACAGACCTCAGAGCTTATTCTAGTGTTGCAGTCACTATAAGTTACACTGAACAAGAGAAAAATATTGAAAAGTTAAAAAAGTAAGATGCATTTCTGGTCGAACCTTAAAAGTTTAAACCATAGTTTTATCAGCTGTTTAATATGGCTGATGCTAACTGATGCTACATTCAAACCATGTTGGGTGTTGGATATGTGTTGTTGTAAATAAGGAGTGGCCACTAAAACCTAATACCATATTACAAATGACAAGTTAGGGAAAAAAAATGGATCCGCAATATGTGATTTTGCGCTTTGAATCAAACGTTTCTAACCATCAACCATGTTGTCTGCCATGTTTCTACCTGTATGACGTCAACAACTCGGCAACTTGTGCACCAAAATTTTCAGACTTTCCGAGTTGTTGTTCCGACTTCAGGCGGCATTCATGTGAATTATTCCGACACCACATAAATGCACAGGCGCTGTGTTGGACATTGGAGGCATTTGCAGAGTGCAGAAGCAATATTGCAAGTGAAATGCATGTTTGAAGTTAATTTAAAGTTTAAAAAATGTTCAAGTATTAATCTGTGTAACTTTACGATTAAACACATTGAAAGGATCCACAACTGCACATTGCTTACATATAAAAAGTAAATGTAAAGTGCTGGAAGTCAGAGATAAAACCAAAGGCAAACCACCACTTCTGACTTTTCTGTGTTGGTGTCCTCTTGTGAAAAAGAAGTCTCTGAAGAGTTGAGCTTGGGTGCAGTCCTTGACTGCAGTCACTTCTGACTGTAAAACAAGCAACAAGACAGAACAGGATCTTAACTCTTTATCTGTTCTGTCTTTGTCTGTTTAACATGCTGCTTCGATTAAGTCTCTGTGTTTGACCACACATCTGAGCCCACAGCAGTCTGTTTCTGCTGTTCCTTTCTCAGTCAGCCTTTGGTGAATCAACCTTGAAGACAAAGCCAACTTTACGGCCAATGGCCTCGCTCCTCGAGGCCTCACGACAGTCACTCTGTCTGTCATCAATGCCACCCTCTGTCACTGTCTCTGTTATTGCAACTGTCCGCCTAATAGTTTACAAATCCAGACAAATCCCTGGTATTATCATTGTTTGATGTTTAGAACATGTCATTGGTATTCACTTTGCATCTGACACTCTCAATCTGAATTGCCCAGCAGTAGGCTGCACAGGCTTGACATTATAATGTATGTATTAAAATTAAATAGCCCAAAATTATTTTCCTGAAATGCAGAATGAGACTAAAGCGTGTTTATGTAAGACAAAATATGTTTGAAGATGTAAAATCAGGCAAAATGCTGATAGGTAGTGACTGTTTAAATTTCTTGACTCACAGGACTGAACAGAAAAAAAAACATACATAATCATACCATACATAAAATACGTTAACAATTTTTTCCCCCACTTATCAATTATGATCAGCATTTTTCTGCAACAGACAGTCGACGTAGACCACCCAAACTGAGACCAAGTCAAGACCAAGACCAGAGTTTATCGTGACCGAGACTTTTAGGGGCTGAGACTAAGTCGGGACCAAGGCCGAGGGAGGGCAAGACCGAGTCAAGACCAAGACCAGTTCCCCACATTACGTGAGACACAATAAAATGTGGAACGAGATCACAGGTACTTCTCAAATGAATCTGAAAGATCCAGATTCCCATTAAAACACCCACATACAAACACTAAGAGCTGAAATCGACGGAAGCATCTTTATTCAACGCTCCTTTTCCATGTTTACGATTGTGGGGAGGGGGGACAGTCCCTAACGGGAACAACACATTTTTAATTAGCGTTACTGGTTGCATTTGAAGCAGCATGTTTTACATCCAATCAAAGTTAAGATGTTAACAAATAAATTATACAATGCAAATTCAATTTGTTGATATTCCCAAAGGTATGGTCTTGAAATAAAATCCCGAGTCCTTAATGCCCGAGACTACGCGAGTACTACAACACTAGCTTGAAGCAGGAAATTACATTACAAATATTATTGTCTGACTTTTTTTTTTTAATTAAAAACAACGCGGGTTTGTTTGGCTGCAACAGCTACAACAGTCACTCCTCTGCTCAAGGACTGTTTATAGAAGTATTAAACCACACTTGCTGTTGCCACATGTAATAAGGGATGTTACCAAATCAACCAGGACTTGAAATCTTAATGCTTGGGTGCAGGGCTTTTTCATATATCCGTTACATTCAAGCCCTCACCAAACACATTCACACTATGCTGATTAAGCTTCTCTGTATTCACAGTATAACAGAGTTTTTAAATCTGGGCTCAGTGACGAAGTTGCCGTGCTGGCGAACAGGCAGTGTGTCTTCTATGCAGCCTGTCCTCCCCCCGAAAAACAACCTAATAGGTTGTTTGGTCCGCTTGTTATCACGACCCATATTTAGGTTTATTGTGGCAGCGACCTGTAGTGGGCGTACGACGGCAGCAACGAAGGAAGTTGGGGGACGTATTATTAAAAGCAGGAAAGTCTTGTGTAAAGAGGCGGATGGACGGATCAAACCAACCCAGGACTTTCACACAGGACCACAGCGTTTACATCTGATGTGAAACCAAGTAAAAGAAATATATCAAAAATACGATCAAAGTTAACTTTTAAAGGACACAGACCATTTTACACACCTTCGACTCCGGATTGTCAAGAACTCAGCTGCCAGGCTTTTAACAACAACAAAGAAATATGACCACATTACTCCTGTTTTAGCTTCATTACACTGGCTATGGTATGGTATACTGGGATGTTTTAGAATTGACTTTAAAATTTTATTGATCACTTTTAAAGCTCTTCATGGCCTCTCGCCTTGTTATATTTCTGACCTTTTAGTCCCATACGCACCAGCACGTACCTTGAGATCCTCGGGCAGAGGTCTGTTGTCTGTTCCAGAGTCTCGACTGAAAACTAAAGGGGACAGAGCGTTTGCTGTCAGGGCCCCGAGGCTCTGGAACAGCCTGAGCGAGGAAATCAGGTCAGCTGAGTCAGTGAACTCTTTTAAGTCCCTTCTTAAAACATACTTTTATAGGAGAGCCTTTCCCGATTTTAATTTATTCTATTTATGATTTGATTCTATTTATTTTTATATATATTATATTAACTTTTAACTGTATTTTAGTCTCTTAAGTGTTTTCTTGCTTTTATCATGCATTTGTTTTTATGTTTTATTACTTTTGCACTTGTTAAAGCACTTTGTAACTTGTTTTTGAAAAGTTCTCTATAAAGATTATTATTATTTTCAGTTTTAAGTTAAATAGTGTTACTGACTTCCGTTCTGTGAGTTATGCAAGTTCCGTCACATGTGTGAAGTCACGTGATACACGTCACATGGCTGACGTAATGTACTCATTTTAACCCGCCATAAGCACGTGTCAACAGTGTTGTGTAATTACTCTCGCTGTCAGAAGGGGGAGACAAAAGTTCCTCACCACAGGTTTAAGGATTACATCTTCAAGTCTGCTCAAAAGTGAATTCAGTCCACCAGTTGGAACGTAACTTGTTTGTGCGTACTGCATTGTCAACCCGAAGCAGCATCACTTTAAGTATGCCGCCACCCACCCACACACACACACACACACACACACCACAAACACAATCTGTAGCGAGAGCTGCTGAATGCAGTCTGATACTTTGGCAGCGAAGACACAAACCTCACACCTCAAGGCGGCGGGATCGTTTGCATCTGTCTGTGTCTGCCATCGTCTCTCCATCACTGTCACTATCTGTCTCTGTGTCATCAATGCCTCCATCTCTCTCTCTTGCTCTTTCATTGTCACCGTCTGTCTCTCAGCCGTCGCCATCGCTCTCTCCCTCTGTCACAGTCATGCTCTGGGTCTCCATTAATAATGTTGTTAAGTGTGGGATTGTCACCGTTTTGGATTCTCTCATTGATCCCCCCCCCGCCCGCTCCACACACTCTCCCTCGCTCTCATTCGTTCATTGTAACTTGCCGTCATGCCCGTCTCTCCATCATCGTCACTGGCCTTGTCAGTCTGTCATTTGTTTGATGCAGCTGTCAGAAAACCCCGCCTGTTCTCACACTCGGTCTTGAACTTTTGCCCTGTGCTCGGACCAAATGTGGAGAAGTAAGATGAATCAAAGCTGTGTCCATGAAAGGAAGGCAGTGGAGCAAGATGGATGCAACCAGAGTTGGCCGTCACTTCAAAGCCATTTCATACGTTTTGAAAATGTAAAACAAACTGAAGTTCACTGCACTTGAGAGTTCAGTAAACTTAACATCTTTCATTATATCCTGCTGTGTAGCCATGAGCTTTCTGAATGATTAAAGGTTTTTAAACAATACTTTAAAAGTGATTGCTATCTGAACTACATGTAGTGATGGTGATTCATGAATGTGACTCATTGTTCCCGATAGCAATGTCTCTGTCTAAATGCACTGCTGGTTCTAATGAAAGCAGGTTTTAACAACATATTGTACCTCAGTTTAATTCACCCTCACAGTTTAACAAAGACATAAAACAGAGAGGTGGAGAGAGAGAGAGACAGACCTGCTATAACTGAAATTAGCTAGAATAAATTTAGATAAACCCGACAATTTCTGTTTATTTCATCCATCTTATCTCTCAGTATAAAAGGAAATACTTAAAGTACCCAATCAGAGGCAGC